TTGTCCAGTATGTACCTTCAGATGGCAGCAACAGATGGACTAAACAGATTAGAACCTCAGGCTCTGCCCTCTGTTCAGACTTTTTGTGGTTCTTAAATATTTGAGATCCACAAGACAAGTTTAAAGCAATGGTTTACGCTGCTGAGAAAAAACAGCATAGACCAGTTTCATACTGGTCTAAGCTGGTTTTTGCTAGTTGACTAGCATCCAAAACACAGCAAAAAGCTGAAGAAACATAGCTCAGACACCAAACACATCTTAGCTAATCGACTACACTTGATCAAGGGGGAAATGGTGAGAATTTGATTTTTGGACAAACCGATGCTTTGAAGATGGTGAAATATTGTAGCAGTTTGCACAGACTGCTCAGAATCCCAGGCAGAATGTTTGATTCCTGTTCACACTGAACACACTGTTATTAGCAAACACAGCCTGCTGTGCAAGTGCCCGGTATGTTGTGATGGAGAGCTGCTAGTGCAAATAGTGGCTGATTCAAGCCAAAATTTAATTCTGGAACTCAGTTTGATTGATTAGAAGCAGTCGTAGACGGTCAGTTCCAGTGATTTGGTGTACAGCTAGGTTTTTTAATCTCTTTCCCTCAGCATTGATTGTCCAGGGTCTGTCTCATTTAGCCTGTTGGTGTTTTTTTCAGTGAAAATCAGATTGTGCTATTGGGGTCATTCTGCACTGATAATTGCTTGCTGGCTTCAGGGGTCCAAATTCAGACTCTAGCTTTTAGTTTGGAGTAGTTAATAGGCCTCATATGATCATGAAATTTGTCGCAGTCCCTGACGAAAACCTCTCCACAGCTCTGAAAGGGGCTCTAACTTGAGTATTTCAAGAGGCTTTGCAAATTGAGCAATTTCATGCACTCCTGCACATGCTGAATGCAACCCAAATTTCATAAGAATGCATGATCTGTGGTAGAAGCATGGAATTCGGGCTTGGAAGGCAAATGCCAGTAGGGTTGCTGTGATACCAGGGTTCAGTACTGATACCAAGTGTTGTTTCACAAAGCTAAACACTTTCCGTCATCTGAAAAAACAATATTTGTTGGAATGTTTATTGGGTAGCATGCATTAGATCAGGGTTTCTCAACCACTGAGCACCCTCTGGTGGTCCTCGGGCCAATACTGAGGGGGAGCCAGTGATCAGTAGTAGGAAAAAAATGACTGACTTAATAATAATAAAGAAATGTAAAATATTTTTAAATGGTAAACAATATTAAAACAGGCCCTACAACAATGATGCAAGAAACAAAAAACAAAATATACTCTCCCTAAGTTTCAGTGGTCCACTTACAAGTGACTGGGGTAAAGAAATGTGTCGCACAACCTTTCCACTCAATTTGTCACCATTCTGCCTGATTTCTGGTATAAAACAAGCCTACATTAATCTAATCTGCTGATATTGTATTTTCAGTGATATGTATGTGTGTGAAATGCCTATATTGAACGTGATGTCACTGCAGAATGTTAAAGTAACTCATAGCCAGATCATCAGGGAGGTCAGTCTGAATTGAACAACACAGTATAAAATAGTATGCTCAAAAAAACCCACAAATCAGTGCACAGTATCCCATCATGTAAAAAATAAAAATTAATATATAAAAGTGATTTTACTGTAGTGTTAATTAACAGCCTGGCCTATCTTGCTTATACCGTGTGGCTGTATTATGTGTAACAATACAAGAATCAGACAGTACTTGCAGAAATACAGACGTTCATCAGATAAGGGCACAAAAAACTGCATCAGGACGTCCCTAGCAGGGCTTGATATTAAATTTCTTGTTCCATGGACAAGTAAATCCACATTTTACTTCTCTGAAGGTCAAAATCACTTATCCATGGGTGTACAGCATTTCCACTGCTGTGTTGCATAAGTATATTAAAATGTCACAGTTAGCACCCAACAATGTATAATGCCTGTGTGAGAAAAAAAATAGAGAAAATAATTCACTCCCTTGTTTCTTTCAGCTCTTCTGATTCAGCAGAGAGACAAAGAGAAAGAGAGAGAGTGAGAGAGAACTTGGCCTACTCAATTTAAATGGTGTTACTTTCTCAGTTTTTAACAAACATCTTGTCACACGGCCTCCGTCAGTATTATTCCCTCTCTCTCACTCGCTCTCTCTCTCTCACACTCAAACACATTTACTCCTCTCACTCATTCACAAGTTCAGATGATTTTCTAAGCAGCTGGAGTTCCAACATACAATGAAAATCGTTACATTGAAGACAAACCTGGCTTGAAAAAGAAAGTTGTTGAAGCGAGTTAACCGCAGCTCGATTTGTTAGGTTTAGTCAAGCTGTAGCATGGTCAAAAAAAATATCCATTTTCTCTTAATGTGCAATTAGCTTTTATCTCCTGCACAGTAATATTTCTGTACATTTCATTTAAGAGCGCTTACTGAATTCCTTCAATTTAATAATACAAGATAGATTATATGCAAAATATATGCTTGCTCACTTGTGTCTGTAGTTATTTGTGGAGGGCTGAGTGCCAGGAGGTCAAAACAGATCAGATGCTTGCAGATTAAAAGACAAGGTTGTGGTTTACTTGAGGGTTGTGGAGTATCGCAAAGAGCGTAGTCATAACAGGCCAGGGTCAAAACCTGAGAGCACGATAACCAAAACAAAAGCATGTCAAGAGAGAATCCAGTAACCAGTCCAAGTTCAAAAACCAAGAGATTAATAAGATTCAGCCATCAAATCTAAAAGGGCAAACACAAAAAGTCAAGTCAAAAACACAAAAACGGGTCGTACACAACATGTTCCAACAGACAGAGAACGCTCAGTACACAACAGGGAAATGTTGGCAATACTTTACAATGAACTAAACTAAAGCCCAGGCTTGGATACTACCTAACTGATGATAAGTAATGAGAAACAGGTGTGCAAACTCTGGTGAAGTGGGGCGCTGGAATGAATCAGTGTGTCCCAATTCAGGGGCTGGGTCCTTCGAAGGACGCGCAGAGGCTGAACGGAAATGAGACGGTCTGCTCTCCAGCGGATTTTCTGTTTGCATCACAGCACCGCTGATCCCGCCCTTATCGTTGTGCCACGAAAGTTCTTTAAACATTTTAAAGTTCTTTAAACATGAAGTCAGATACTGTGATTTTTTATGAAGTTTTTTTGTTATATGTTTTTTAATTGTTTATTTTTTTATTTATTAGGGCTGGAGATGCTTCACCGCCGGCTACTGATGAGATTTTTTTTGTATCGTTTGCCATTCGCCTCAGTTTAAACCCAATACTTACATTAATATGTATTAAACTAATATTTAAAAGTGTACACTTCAGCCAACGTTCGCTCCTCTGTTTATGCCGGCACGCAATGAACCTCGGGATATATTGGCTGGCAAGGACCCACCCGTTGGATCCTTCATTGCCATGGAAAAGAAGGACACGTTTCTTGGCCGCATATCAAGGAGCCTTCGAAATGGGACAGCCTAGTCACGCCGCTGTGACACAGTCAGCCTTCAAATGCAGCCTCTGAAGGACGCAGCCCCTGAATTGAGAAACAGGGAATGTCTGTTGGTTGATGATGATGATGGGGGGGGGGTCATGTGATCTCCCACTGAATCATGGGAACTGGAGTTTTCCATACATTGACCCAAGTGAGCCCTCAGGAGACAGGGAACAAGTAGATAAGGCATCCTTGGTAGGAGGCGTGACACTGAGGGGTTCGCTCTTTGCTTTCATTTGCAGAAGGTGGCAGAGGATAGATCAAGGGGCCATCATTTTCTTTGAGTAATCGTTACATATTCAGATGTTATTCATTCATCAAATGTTTGCATCTGCAGTAAACTGTCCCCAGTTTTAAAGCCATATAAGCCCTGAGTCCCTCTGATTGTTTCTAAGAGCATAAAGTCACAAATAACTGAATAAACTACTGAATAATTTGCTGTTGTATCAAAGAAGCTTGAACCCTCAATACACTATGCAGTGCTAAGTGCTAGTGCTAGCTTAATTCATTCATTGCATCATTAATTTTGCAATACAGTCCTATACAAATATTTAGGCATCTCTGGTCATATTACATGTTGATTTTTCTAAGTGAAAATAAGTGAACACATCCTCTACAGAGAACACACATCTGCACATTTTAAAGAAGAATTACTATTTATTTGCTAAATGTAACAGATCAAGGCAAAAAATAAAACATAAATGTGGCCTGTGTAAACATTATGGCACATTTTATATTGTTTTTTCTTCTAATGTGTTAAACTCAAATAAATAGAAAATATGCCTTTAAATTTGCAGAAAATAGACATATTTTACTATGTCCTCTGTGGAGGATGTCTTACTTTCACTTAGAAAATCAACAAAACGTGACCTTTGACCGTGCAGGCATGCATATGACTGTGAATCATGCAACTGTGCTATGGCTCTCATCTCAGCATGGTTCCAGGACCACTTATGGTGCACGTTTCAATCACATTTCCACTGTTGCACTGCTCCAACTGACGCACTTCCACTAATGACCCCATCCCTGGGGTGTACAGGCCACATATACCAGGCCTTTGTTGTGGTTTGCTGGCAGTGATTGGACTTTGGTTCACTTTCCACTTACGCTTTCACTTTCCTTTCATGCTTGTGTGAAAGGAGCTAGCTTTGGTGCTAAAATATTTATAACCATTATTATAGCAGGAGGCATGCACTGTATTAGCTGATATTGAGACTTACATTGGACGGAGTGATGGATGAACCGTGGGAGAGAGGTGTTGAAATAATGAACAGAGTGTTTCTCTGAGTGCATCAGCTACAAGTATCATGTAAACAGAGTCCACCTCTCAGCAGGGAAAAGAAAAAAAGATCATAAAAGACCAGCATCTGTTTGTAATAGCACATAGCTCTTCATCGTAGCACAATGAGAGGAAAACAAGTTCCTACAGCATTTCTGAGCGCTTTTTCTTAAATAATGCATTTCTCCATTGCTCAGTGTGCCGCTCTGAGCCATTTGTCGAAGGGTGAGGTCATTTGTTGCTTGTGTTTTTGGCAGAGGAGGAGCTGAGGAAGCTACGGGAGGAGACCAATGTGGACACGCTGAAGCAGGAGTTGGAGAAAGAGCGGGGCAGAAGGCTGGACCTGGAGCAGAAGATGAGCGAAGTGCTAAAATCCAGGTGAGCACCAAGGACAAACATGCAAAAATAGTATATCACAATACTTGAAGACGTTTTCACGATACATGGTGTTCATCGTGGGATTTCGTTTTTCTGAGGTTTGAGATGTAGGAACAGTTAAAAACCCCAGTGGTGCCACATATAAAAAATACTATCAAAAACTGATTACAATGAAAAGTGATTACAGTGATCACAAGTCAAAGGATTCCAATGACTTTATTTAGTGTTTCACACACTGTGCTGCACTGAATCCAATTAAACTTGTGCTTATATTTGCTATTAAACATGCAGTCGGCCAATGGGCCTCTTTCACCAACTGTTCTTAAGAAGAAATTTCTTCTGAAAACCCACTTTTTTCTGATGTTCACACGTTTTCTTATTTGGGATTTGTTCTTAAGGTAAGAACATAATCTACACACACTGAGTAATTCTACTGTTTAAGAACTTGTAATGAATCTGACAGACTTTTTTCGGGCCTTTCTCAAGAACAAATTTAAGAAAAACTTGGGAAGATGAGGCCCAGTGTTCTTTAAGTACTGACGATGTCTAAAATAGAATCAGAAAAGCATATTGTGACATAATATATCACATATTGCCCACCTCTATGTACAACTGTGGTAAGCTTGTGGTAAGACTTATTTCAGTTACTTTCAAATAAATCTGCAGGAATATTTTTCCACAGCTGCAAAGTTCAGTCGTAAAAGTTGGTTGAATTTTCTGCCACTCATGATCCTTGTAATGCCACATTCAGTGATATTAAAGTCTGGACTCTGAGGTGGCCAGTCCATTGTTCTGTAGATTGTCTATTGTTCTATTGAAAGGAGAAAATCATATTCATTTTATTATTGCTGCAGAACTATTTCTTTAAAACTGGCCAACTTTATGTCATCTTTAAAATATGTTAAGACTAACTGTTGTATTCGCTCAAGTAAGGATTGCAAGGGTTTTCATTTAGACGTGTCTCGGGAGAAAAGGCTACCATACTTTGTCACAAAGAGTCTATTACTTTAAATACAATAATGGTTTAATAGCCCTGAGTGTGGCTTATTTAGTGTCCTTTAGCATGAAGTTATCACTCAGACATTTTAAGCAAAAGTTTTGGAGAAAAATAAGTAGCCAAGCTTTTGGTACAGACTTTCTTTTCCTCCCTACTGAGCTGTGTGATTGGTAGCTGCTTCTTGGCAGTGTTCACGGACCCCTCTCTTACACCACTGCCTCAGAGACAAGACAAGGGCTGGTCACTGTAGGCTGCCCCAGTCTAGGCTCCCCTAGTTGGGTTTTAAAAATAGCTGTTACTGCCTCCGCCCCCTAGGTCTTGGAAGCTTCACAGAGACTAGGACATTCTTCAGCAGTGAGGGACGAGTAAAAGGGTCAAACACTGCACTACCACTGCTCAGATCAAAAGCCTGTCATACATAAAGCACACAGATAGCATTGTACAGCTTTAGTTTGCTTCACCCGAGGTCACCTACGCAGGATTTATAGTATATGCAGTCTGTAGCAAGATTTTGTGTATTGATGTTAATGTAGGTGGCAAAAAATCAGATTTGCACAGTATTTTCCTTAGACTAGAATGTAGTTGATCAGCCAACAGGACGGAACCAGGGGTGGGGCCACAGGGGCACTTGATCCAGAATGGAATAGTGAACAGTGGACTGTGAATAAAATTCAAATCTGACTTCCAAAAACGATGTTATAAATGACAAATTTCACATTGCCCTTAATAGACATTACATACGGACTCACATACATAATAGCACACACGATATATATATATATCATATACTCTGAGCAGGCATAACATTTACACCTCCCTCTTGTATGTACACCCACTGTCCATTTTATCAGCTTCACTTACTGTATAGGTGCAATTAATAGTTCTGCAGACTGTAGTCCATCTGTTTCTCTGCATACTTTGTTAGACCACTTTCACCCTGTTCTTGAATAATCAGGACCCTTGTAGACTTAATTAGAAAAGCATGTACACTTAAATAGAATTTTTTGGAAGGGGTGGGGGGGGGTTGGTAACATTATCGATAATCGCAATTTTTAACTAGAAAATATCATGCTAATTATTTTTAGGCCTAACCAGCGCAACACATGCTAACACACCTCCACCACATCAGTGTCACTGCAGTGCTGAGAATAATCCAGGAGGTGGTTTTAGTGTTACCTGTCACATGCACACAGACACACATATTTGCAACCACCTGGGATACACCAACAACAGCCAGGCAACACCATAGCAACCACCTGGGGCCTTGCTCCAAAACTTTGCATCTCCAAAAAGATAACTGATTATACCTTAACTTTTATTGGACATTAATGGAGAGATGATTTTAGGGCCATTTTTATTCGTCCATTCATCATGACGTTCTGACACAGCATAAAGCACCACTTGCTTTTTCATGTCAAAAAATGGGAAATGACAAAAATTGAGTTACAAGGTTTTGTCCCAACCTCTTTGTTGTAATGTTGTGCAAGTGTTGGTTAACATAATTTGAGTTGATGAATCACATTTTCTGTTGTTTTTCTGCATCAGATTAGAAGACTCGCCTCCGCAGCCTACTCGTAAACAGCAGTCCCCTTCGGCCAATGGCGCAGGTGAGAGAACACAAACATATCGTGCTCTAATGAGATATTTCTGCTGCAAAAGGTTCTGTTATGTTTGTCTGATAGAGTAAGACTCCCTCTCTTTCTCTCCCTCTCTTTCTGTCTGTGGATGTATGAGGTGCAGATATCCGGCACTAGCAGTCAGATAAACATTGTCTTTCCTCTGATGTGCTGTCTGTGTGTGGAAAGGGCTCTTGTACCTCAAAGCTTTCCAAACAGTGCTTCAGTCCATGATTGCTCTCCGATTCAGGAGGCACCAGAGCCTGTTATTTCAGGCAGCAGTCTAAATTTGTAGATGAGCCTATCTAGGCCAGAGGAGCCCTTTTGTATTTGAGGAGAGAGAGAGAGAGTTGAGAGCATAATGTGGAGAGGGGAGCTAGCCTTGCGCACACATACACATGCACATACTGAGTAAATTAGGTTAATAGAGCTTGGGTTTGTGCTCTGAAATAGGCAGATCACTCATTGACTCTCTCTCTCTCGCTCTCTCTCTCCAGAGAAGCAGCAGAAGCAGACGCTGTGCTCTCGGCTGCAGAAGTGGCTGTACGATCGCTTCGGCGTTTACATTGAGGACTTTCGCTTCCAGCCCGAGGAGAACACAGTAGAGCCGGAGGAACCGCTCAGTGCTAAAAGGTGGGATGGAGTGTGGGATGCATACAAGGTGGATTCAAGACGTTGTTGTTTAATGCCATCTGTACTCCGTGAAACCTGATAGTGTGCCATTGGAGATTGTTCATCTAAACCCATGTTTCTCAACCTGGTCCTGGAGTCAGGCCCCTACGCACCCCCCCTTGCCCTACCCATTCTTTTTCTGCCTATTTTACAACAGATGCACTAGGTGCTTTGAGCTGCATGCAGTAGTGTTGTCAAGACAAGTAATACCCAGTTACATCTTCATAGAAAGAATACATTAGATCCTCAACTGGAAGTGAGCAGATTTTATTTCAACATGTAGAGAAAAGACCATTTCATTCTGTTTGAAGGTATTGTCATACATTTTTCAAGGGAAATAACCAACCAATCAAAACCTCTCAAAATAGTTGAAACCTAATAAATATGCTTGACCATTGTCTACTTGAAGTTTACTTAACTAGTAGATGGAATAAAGTCATATGCAGGTTATACTAACTTAATCCATTATTGGAAATTTTGAAATATGGACAGAAAACACACTTTGCTTTATGAACAAGATGAGTCCAGTGTGACATAACGAGCATCACAGAGCAGTTTAGGCTTGCCACTCGCGCCACAGGTTCTCTGGTGCAAAATCGTTTTAACCCTGATAATCTGAGCTCATCATCTAATAAACCCTTTAAGGCAGACACAAAAACATGGCTATTTCTGCTGTTAAATATGCTCTTCCCTATTAATAACATTATTTCTCAGTGCTGTTGTGGCAGTTATTTAATATGTAAAGAACATGATTAACAAAGCATTACCACATTACCATTTTGAAAAAGAAAACAGGAGAGAAGGAGTGTAGGTCACACATCAGCCACGGGTTACAGTTACCCTGATTCATCTGAACTGTGCTCTGAATGAGCTGCTGAAATAAACACAAAGCATCCAACAAGAAAGGAAAGCATGTTTTTTTTTAACATTGTTTTTTATTACTTTTGCAAAGTTCAACAACGACAGCGTAGTACAGTGTGAACAAACATAAAACACAACTAACTAACAAACCATAATCATAATAATGCTGATAAGGAAAGCATCCTTTATACAGCGATAGAAACATGATAGACCACAGAAAGCTCTGGTTCTACACTGAGCTTTTTCAGATACATTTCACATGGCTAGCATTTCACATGGCTAGTTTTAGGGGTCAATCAGCCAAAACATTATCCATTTTCTTTAGTTTTGCCCTGGAACTATGAGGCCAATGTACCTAACAAGTAATGCAAGCTCATATAGAGCATCAATTTGTTAAGTAACAACTATTAGACTTGCTTATATGGTTTCTGACACTATATCAAATGTTGTTATCAGCTATTTTGAAGCATAAAATTCACTTTCAGCATCTTTTTTCATTTATATTAATGTCGTTTATGGATTGGTTGACACATGACATCAATATCTCTATAAGCTTCCTTTACATGTTAGCTACTTTAGCCCCATAACATTAGTGCAAACCTAAAGAAGAAAACTTAATTCATTAAAACATGTCTTGGCTGGTTGGCTACATATGGGGTAAAGGGAAAATTGTATATATTTTCTGCTTTTTCTTTTTTTTTTTCTGAATGATCACTTTGACATGCTTTTCCAGAGTTGACCTGACTTTGTTGGAGCAGCGAAAACACCAACACATGCAGTTCTGTGGTACTTCTGTACTAGAAGTGAGAGCCAGTGATTTAAACCACTAAAATTTAGTTTGATCCCTTGTTATGATGCTCAGGCTCTCCCCCTTTTGGGCAACAGGTAGCATTACATTGCAAAAGGTCCTCAGGTAACCTTCAATATTGAAACCATGCAGACCTCCGGCAGGGTGACCTTGCTGATTGTGTAGCTCTGCCTCCACTAAATCAGCAAAAAGAGTTTACTTGCTCACTGAATTTATTCCAGAATGAAAAAGATACTGTGGAATTGTGACTTTGTGATGAGAGAAATATGAAGAGGAGTAGTGTAGGAGTGAGGGTGACTCATCAAATCATCCTTGATTAATAAAAGAGTTTGCTCACCCCTGACTGCCACCAGGACAGGCAGAGAGGAGACGTACTGTAAGAAAATATTTCTCTCTCTTTCAGGTTAACAGAAAACATGAGACGACTTAGTAAGTCATTTTTTCAACTTATTTAGAGCTTTTTCTGCTTTACGTGATTTTGACAACATTAATTCTGTTATGTGTAATGCTGTGAGGTTATATATAGTGATCATACCTATCAAGGCATGACTGTAAAATGTATTTATGTACACAGAGCGCGGCGCCAGACCTATAACCAACTTCCTGAGGAACCTGTCAGCCTTATCAAACTGGCACTCAGTCTACACGTCAGCGATTGCCTTTATTGTGAGTATCTAATGTATTTATCTGTCCATCCATTCATGCATCCATCAAACTGGCACTCTGTGTTTGTGTTAGTGATTGCCTTTATTGTGAATGTTGACCTTAACTCTGTTGGTCTGTCTGTTGGTCTGTCTGTCTGTTCATTCATCCATCAGTTCATACATTTTATGCATGCATCCGTCTATCCGTCCATCTATCCAACCAGCTATCTATCTTCTATCTTTTTATCCATTCTTTAACCCATCCATCCTTCTACCTAACCATCAATCCATACATGCATCCATCCAACCACCTATACATCCTTTTATCCATGCTTTTACCTGCCCATCCTCCCACTTATCAGTCTCTCCATCCATCCATCCATTATTCTTTCTGTTGGAGTTGGAACATTACTTAACTAGTTGAGTTGCATGAACTTTCCCATTTTAAAGATGCAAAGAATGTTAGAATGAACACATAAAAATGTGAAAGAACATTCCAGATACATAATGTGATTCAGCAGCACGAAGTGAATGATCAAAATTGCAGTCCTTGTAGTGGTAAATAGAGCTGGAACAACACTAGAGTTTACTTTGATGTGTCAGTCGGGTGATGTACATTGAGATAGTAGTGTCCAACCTTGAGACCTGTCATCTCTGTGAATTTTCACACATTCATCGATAGTGAAACAGAATGACTGTTATCTAAAATCCTTAAACTACACTGCAGGTTATTTGACTGTTTCTTTAACTGTTCACTATTTTTTGTCCTTATCTAACTTATAATTTTTAAATTAGATTATTTAACTAACTTAATTTCATTTCTAATTTGATTTTTAATTTAAAGCTTTTCTCTTTTAAATGTATTGTTTTAATCATGTTTTAATTGGTATTAATGTTGTATTTAATTGTTTTTCTATTCGCATTTACTTTTTTTAAACAACTCTGTATTTTCTCATTTGTAAAGCACTTTGAATGACAGTAGTGTATGAAAGGTGCTTTATAAATAAAGTTGCCTTGCCTTCTGAAACGTTAAATATGTTGTAGGTATACATACGTTTAATGTACATGTGTGTGTGTTTTGGTGTGTTTTCTCTTCCATAGGTCTACATGAATGCTGCATGGCATGGCTGGGCCATCCCAATGTTTTTATTTTTAGCCATTCTGAGGTTATCCTTGAATTACCTCATTGCAAGGTAAGGCATTAGATAATTCCTCTTGTCCTTTACCACATTGAGTTTTTCTGTGGTTGTTTTTGTAGTGCTCTTGTGGCTGATCATTAATGAGGATTTCAGTTCAATTTCAGTTTCTTTTTATATATGTAATATAACGTACATGAGCATATTTGAGATAAGAGTTCATTTTATGAGCTTAATGAAAACCAGTGCGCTTCTTCCAATAGACAATTCACAATTATAGTGATGGTGCTTTAGGAGGAGGCGTGTTAGTAACCATGGTTACCAGTATGTGGAAACATTTTTGTCCAAAGATAGATATCAGCTAGAGCAGGGGAAGGAGTGACTTTATTTTTAAAGTCTATATCAAGTCTACGTTAAATTACAACTGCATGAGTGCCTTTAAAACCTATTGTTTGTATTTTCTTTTGCAGAGGGTGGAGGATTCAGTGGAGTATTGTGCCTGAAGTTTCTGAACCTGTGGTACGTTTCAGTTCTTTCTGCTCTAAGTCTGTGAGTACTTTGTGTGTGTGCAGGAAGTGACCTGTCTGTGAGTGTGTATTTGTTTTCTAAAGGTTTTAATTTCTCTCACTTCTCTTTATTTTTGGGTCTAGGAGCCTCCAAAGGAAGACCTGACTGTGTCTGAAAAGTTTCAGTTAGTTCTTGATGTTGCACAAAAAGCACAGGTAATATTTATATTGGCCTTTAATCATCAACTAGGATGTCTAGATATATAACTGAAATTCCCTGTGTTTATAAATAGACATGTAATACTGTGCAAAAGTTTGTAATCAGTATTTGATCAGCAATGTAAAACAAATCTGTTTTTAGATAAATGCATAAAGTACATTTGGTATGCTAGTCTTATGCAGTTTTATAGCTTTCAAGTAAATAGTAGTAAGCTGTAAAAAAAAAATAAAGAAATGTTAGTTGTGTCCAGAAAGATGAACTGAGCTGTCATTTAATCACTGATCAAATCTTGAGGTAGAAAACTTGATATAACAAAATTATTGTAAATATATTGTAATTACAGTATGTACTTTACAAGGTATAATAGCTGAACATCCTTGAAATATTTGAAATTTTTAAATTTCACAAGTGATTCCAAACTTTTGTACCTGTTTTTGTTTTCAAGAGAAAAAAATCTGTTTCCTCATGATATGCTTGCATGTATAACTGGTTTGAATTTCCATAGAATCTTTTTGGAAAGATGGCAGATGTTTTGGAGAAAATCAAAAAGTAAGTATTCCTGTATACAAGCATACATCATGCAGAATTTGCTCTTTAATGATAACAGATAAAGTGTGTAGGAAATGCCTGTCTACAGTTTAATGAGCCTTTGTTTGTGTGTTTAATGGTTAATGAGTTGCTTTGTTTGGTTGTGTTTGTCTGTGGGTGTTTTTGTGTGTGCCTGTGATGCAGTCTGTTCATGTGGGTGCAGCCAGAGATAACTCAGAAGCTGTATATTGGTCTGTGGGTGGCCTTCATCTCATCCTGCGTCCTGCCCTACAAGCTCATGGGCTTGGTTATTGGTGAGAACAAGCATGTGGGCACACAGATTTATACACAAGTTTTACCATTCAAATATTTGTATTTTGTAAAGAAATTGGATTCAGATATCCCAGTGAGGAAATATTGTTGATTGTTGTGATTAAAAAAGCACACACAGTGTCACTGATACAAAGCACTGCTTATACAAAGCATCAAAAGCTACTTGAGTGCTAATAGGGCCCCCTTATTGAGAATTTTCAGTCTGCTAAATGTGAGTGAGTGAGTGAGTTAGAGAGTTTCTTAGTGAGTTAGTTGTTGTGTTAGATAGTTAGTGAGTTAGTCAATCATTTAGTTAGTTCATTAGTTAATGAATTATTGATTTAGTTGGTTAGCTATTGAGTAAGTGAATTATTTGTTGACTTATGTAGTTAAATCCATGCCTGACCATTTGGTTTATTTGGTCATTTATCTTTTATCATATTTCAGGTGCATGTGGATTAACATAAAACCTACCTACATACTGCCTATCTAGAATAATAACTCAAACTTGCACAACTTACGCTGTGCAAATTTGTCATCTTTTTGTTGGAAATACTTCGTATCGTGTATGTAGCTCTGTTTAGATGTGGTCATTTCACTTATTGTCAGACATGTCATCAGTTACTTGTGGCCCAACTTTCTCTATGTCACACATAGTTCTTCACACAGTTAAAAACGTGCTTAAAAATTGCAAGATAATACAGTTATTTCATTATTTCATTACAAGGTTCACATCTCATTTAAATACTGTGTTAAGTAAGCCAATATAGGTAGTAAATCCATATATTCCATGAACTATGTCCGATATTAATGTCAGTTGTCAATTGACACACTTAAACAGAAGAAACTCTTAAACAATATAAACATTGTAGCACTAGAGACGAGGATGTCAAGATTTCTTTGTGGCTGGTTTCTGTTAATTACCACTTACCACTTATTGTTCTTATTTATTGTTAGTTCTCTTCACAAAAAAATGTCACTAATTATCTGCACAATATCAGCTTTATTTTCGCTGACATCAGTAAAATCATGAGTAGTTAAGATCTGCCTATATTATTGGTAAACCAGTATATCGGTCAACATGCTCACGCTGACAGATTAACTCTGATATTCTCAGTCAGTATGAAGGGTTCACACATATACTGCTTCTAATGTTGCCAGTTTACAATGACAGTGATATGGCAGCTGCAGTTACCTCTCCCAGAACAAAACCCTGTATGGTTATTAGGGGCCATATCTGCTCAATGCAGTGTGGACACACCGTCAGGAGCAGCACTAAATGCTTTCATTAGTGTTCAAGATGAGCAACGCAACAATATAAAGTGTTTACTCAGTAATGTAGTCAGTGTTTAAGCATGACAGTGCTTGTACGTAATGCATATGTGTGTTTGTATGTATGTTTTTTATAATTTCTCTGACAGGGCTGTACGCAGGCATCAAATTCTTCATCATCGACTTCCTCTTTAAGAGCTGTCCAAAGCTGAGGGACAAATATGACACTCCGTACATTGTCTGGAACAACCTCCCCACAGACCCTCAGCTGAAAGAGCGCAGCAATGCCACTGTGTCCAGACGGGTATGAGACACTAAAATCACATAGTAAATTCAAATACTGACTATTTCATGTTTCAGACAAATACAGTATACTTTTTTAGGTAAATGGAATACTGTGGTGAAAAATCACAGTTACACAATTTCCCTCTTAATCCAAAGTAAGATTAGCCAAGACATGTTTAGTGCTGGAGCTACAAGGCTAATGTAGCTTATGTAACTGGACTGTGTGACTAAATCATCTTATGCTTGCTTTAAATCATGTGGAGCTGTTAAGTAACCTCACTGTATGACATACTGTTAACTTTAAAAGTGGACAAAGCTACCTCACATATCTAAGTAGAAGCAGCCATCATGAAGCCCAGGCCTGCGCACAGTGATAGTTAACCAAGTCACCGCAATAACAGTCGCATTAAAACTATTTTACGGCCAACATGATGAGGTTGTTTTAGAAACCCAGCTGTTGAGCTGCGCTGGTTGAACACATCTGGGAGGGGCAGGTCACAGTGTGGTATCCACACAGATATCATGCCTGTACAAAAAGCTATTTTATGGTGTATGTATTCGGACATCCTCAGAGCACATTGTCAGGTTTTAGATATCTGACAAACAGCTTCAGGTCTCAGGTAAAGCACTATCATGTTGTAGCTCTCATAGCTCACAGCCCTGGGTAGTAAAGTTTGTGTGACATGCACAATTTTGTTCTTTATTACTAGATTAATTAATTTAATGGCCAAATTGAAGATGACAATATATTGCTGTCTACTGCATTATTTTCTTTTATATCACAAAAATCAAACTTCAGCTCACACACTATCACTGTATTTGCTCCTGCATCTGCTTTAGAGTTAGGGGCTGTCACAAAATTACCAGAAAAAGAGGAAGTGAACTGTTACTGGCACAGGCCTAAGTTTTGGCTGTACTTTGTTATACTATGTTTATAGATAACGGCATGTCACACAGTGGTGCAGTTCAGGCATGCAGTTTGCACAGTACTAACTAGTAGCTTTGAAGCTTCCTTTGCCTTTTCGCTACATTAGCCTCCGAGCTCCAGTGCAAAACTAAAGAAGCAAACAACAGACTTCAAACGTCTTAGTTGATCAGTTACATTTGGGTAAGGGAGAAAATAGTGGACATTTAGATTTTCTGTCAAACTGTCACTTTAATAAACTTGTAAGTGATTCTGCTTCCAGAATATTCCTATTCAATCGAGCTGTACAATTAACAAGTGTGTGTGTGTGTGTGTGTGTGTGTGTGAATGTAAGCTGCCTATGTGTTCATGTGTGGTGAACATGTGGGAGTCTGTCTACCGTACTGTGCAAAAGTCTTAAACCAATGAATGCACACACACACACACACACACACACACACACACATATAAAAAAGGGTTCTTCTATCATTATAAGCTTGACATCGTAACAATAGAAGAACCCTTTTTGATGTTATATATAAACTATTTGCTAACTTTATTAAGTTATATCAGTGCTGGTTGTGAGCTACATCAGGGAGGAACCAAACCTGCGTTCTTCTAAGCATCTCACAAGATATCAATAACTTTGTACAAGAAACAAACAAACTCTGTTCTAATGTTGTATAGTCAGGCTACACGATCTAGACAAAATATTAGTTTATTAGTTTCGCAATTTTATTGCTTCATATTACAAATGCCAATATTCCTTGCAATACATTAAAAAGACATTAGTGAATCAATGTGACAATGTGTATTGTGACATGGTTAGACTGACCGGAATTATTTTGTAGTAAACAACATTTTTACCTTTTTCCATAAAATTGCCATTTTTGGAGATCAACAGTATCATGAACTGTGATTGGCTAGAGGCCCATTTGCATACTGCAGCCTCCTGTGATGTGACTATTGCAAAAGCCAGTATCCAGATAATGATTTACAAATGAGATATTGCGCAGTGCTGTTATATAGTGGTTTTACACTCAAGAATGCTTGCTGCCCACATCAACAGTTTAAACACTTTTTTGCCTATCCTAAGACTTTTGTGCAGTACAGTAGCTGCAGTGCAGGTTTGAGTCAGAGTTTGGAGTGACGGTCATACTGCTGTTTTGTGCTCTCTCTCTCTCAGCTGTCTGGGTGTGAGAAGGTAGGGACTGTGGTGTGTCTTTGGCAGTGCCTGTGTGTGTGATGCCACCAGCTCACCTTTTTATACCTGTATGCGTGTGTGTGTTTTGGATCGAGACGCACCTTATGAGATAACTGAGGTCTGTGATCAAATGGATCAAAAAGGCCAGTGTAGTACTCTTGTAGTACTCTGTAGGTCAGTGTAGTACTCTTAGTAAGTCTTGGCTACTTGAAAAATTTGAAATCATTTGGTCCATTGTGTGTACCTATTTGGCTACTTCATAATAGCCCTTAATATCTAATAGTATGGCACTTTGGATCCATTTTCACAGACAGCCTCCTAAATATGAATAAGTGATGTGGGTGTATGTTTACTTTTATCAGATGAAGAGAATTGCGTAGTGGATTACAGATTATATCAGTACTGTAGAAAGTATGGCTAAGCACAAAATGAGACTTATCTTTTTTAAATTATCTTATTATCTGTATTTAAAACCACAGGTATCAATTTGCATCAGTGAGAGCAATACAAATTTAAAGCCTTTTATAAAGAGTTTTATAGATAAAAAAACATGAAGTTTTTAAAAAAAAACATACACGTTAACACTAACAGCATCTTTCACAACAGAGCTCAAGGTTGGACATGGTTTCTTTTAGTGCTCAGAGAATAGGCTGTTACTTGGTGTCTGCATTTTGAGTCGCACTGACTAAAAGAAAAATGATAATTTTGTAGCCATTGCTACTTGATAGGTCCAGTTCTTACACTTTATTTGTTTGTTTAATAACCAATAATAATAATTTAATAATTCATTTCTGCTGGTCTTTTTAAGTTTTCATTTGAATTATCTTTGTATTTTGTCATTTGTAAAGCACTTGACCACAGCGTATGAAAGGTGCTATATAGATAACCTTGCTTTGCCTTGCCTTGGACTTGATGTGAAAGTTCCACTGCATTAAACATAGAATGCGAAAATCGACTTCTTAGCTTCTAATAGCTTATGATGGCGTTTTCCCTGTAAAGCTGCTTTCACACTGAATGTGGAAAAGATGTGCTTTCAAGCATATTTTTTTAATGGGATGCGTGGTGCACGGGCAAATTTTCTCTGTGCAGAGTTTAGTGGCAAGTGCAGCAGAAAATGGAGTTCGCCATGGTAGACACACAGGGTCATATAACATTTAAATGTTTCTAACTTTTGTGCAGCACATTTCAGCCAGGACTCAGTAGGAGAGCAGTAGGCATGTCTGTTAGCTCCTGTCGCTAACCCGAAAGGTTAGATTTTTTGGAGAGCACTGCCTATTTTTGCCGCCATGGTGAGTGCTGCTCATATGGCGAATGGTGTGAAATCAGCTTCCCACCAACATGATCAGCAAGCGCAGCACATACCAAGTTCAGTGTGAAAGCAGCTTAAGGCAGCACCCCAGTGACATGAACTCGCAGTGCAACTCAACGCAGTGCAACACAGTGCGTGTCTAAATGAAGTAAAACCAAGACTGGAGGTTTGAATATCGGAATAAAGCGCAGAACACTCTTCTATAAAATGATAAATCTTGCTTAACAATTTTGTCTTATTTTGATTAATAAGTCAGTAAATTGTCCCAGTTCTAATAGAAAAGAATAGTCTCTGCTGTATCTGCTTTTACCGTTAATTACTGAGATGTTAGCTGTAGTGCTTGTATGCCTTCCCTTTATGCCGTATGTAGTTGTAGGGGTTATTGCATCCCTTTGTGCCATGTAGGAAGTGTCCCTTTAGATTTTACAGTGAAACTTGAGCATGGGGTAAGTTGTAGCAAACAGCATGGCCTCTTATACACCCACTACTGTCCAATCATCCACACACTGACTAACTATCATGCTGTACTACACTGACTAGAGCACACATCTCACGCACCTGAATTCACGCAACTACTAAACACACTAACACTTGAGGCTGTATGTTCTTGGATTTTAATTGATCTGTCCGTGCCCCGCCCACAGATGTGTTCTTTTATAGCTACTGTTGCTAGGTTGGACAAGATCTACAGTACACTGGAAAAATCCCATTCAACGTGATAAGAAATAGTGGTGCACAAGGTTTTGTCAATCATAAATATATGAAGACTTATTAATTTCAATCTACTAAACAGAAAGTTCACTGCCAAGCTAACATTGCTAGCTAACATCATTCTTGCCATGCCAACATAATGGCAAAAACAGAAAGTGTGACATGTTGCCTTGAGCTATATCTAGTTGGGATACACAGTGATAAGAATTAAATCAGTATCAGCAGATAATTGTTTAAGGAAAATATTATCATCATTAGATCTGACTGATAATTCAGGCTGATATTTGATGATGCATATATTGTACTCCAGAAGAGCAGAACATGTAGGTGATAGTGGCTTACTGTTCTAAAATGTCTGCATTTTGAGCAGTTTACAGCATTCATAATCCAAATAAACATTAATTTCTCTGTAATGCTAATCCAGGTAGACATAATCCCTGTTTCTGTGTTTTATAAATGTATGTGTATTGGCATCCATGCTGACATTTATGTACATGAAATGTTTTCCATTAGCCAGGAATTCCCATTCCAATGGTGAAAGATAAAAACAGGCTTAGCTAGCTAGTAACGTTTCTGCTTTGCCAATCAAATAGATGCTTATTTTGAAAGACATTCAAAACATTTAAACAACAAAAAAGCTACACTGTGATCTATCCTACAGTAGTAATGCACTTGCTTATTTTTGAATAGAGTTTTATGCTACAGTTTCTCATTAGGTTGAACAGGATTAGTGTCAGCGTTCTGTAAAGCTTGTCTGCCTTCACAACAGTAATTATGAAAGAACGCACTTGTGGGCGGGTCATAAATCAATCTATTATGGCTGTGTGGAAATGATCTCAGGGCTTTGTGGGCTTGTTTCATAGGAGCGGCGTGGTTATGGTTGAGAGCAGAAGACGGTGTGGCCGCAGTAGTTGGTAGATGTCGGTGTTTTGGTCATTCTATGGTTAAAATTTTTCCTCTTTTTGCACAGATTCAGCCAGTAGTGTCACGGGGTAGCTTAGCAACCATCCCTTCCGGAGTGAGCAGAGAGGAGGAGAGTGGACGGGCACACAACACCAAAAAAGGAGCTTTCCATGAGATCTTCAACCTGTCTGAAACAGAAAGACCTCTGCCAGGTAAGATGGCCAATATGAACTCAAATTTATATCATGGTATTCTCGACTATCCAGGCAATGTTAAGGTATATAAAAAATAAAATATAGAATATTATATATAATATTAACATACTTAATTACCCAAAATTAATAATCCGTTTATTATGGTGGTATCCGCATCATGCCCATAGACCAGCAATCAAACAATGAAATTTAAAAGAAATATTAAATTAAAATGCTCTGGCACTATAAGGCCTTGAAAAAAACAATAGCATTTAATTAGTTCTGGAATATCCTGGATTTCTGATTTATTTTTTCTTCTTAGGTCTATTTATGACATTTGTGTGGTTTTATGTACAAACAGTCATAATTTATTTTTTCTCATGGCCATTTCCAACCTCTGTTTATCCCTGAGAATAAAACAGGATATTTTTGTTATGTTTAAGGCCGATATATGTACATGAGCTCTGTTCTGATTGGCTGTGGTGTATTGTGTCTCATTCTAAAAACAGTCCTTTTAACTTCAGACTAAACTGTTGTAGGCTGAATAGCTGGTTGTGAACATCATCAAAACAGTAAATTTAAAATGAGCCATTTTTGCAGCTTGTTTTCTGTATATGGCTTGTATAAAGTTAATGGTGCTTTTTGTTGTTTATATACAACATCAAACTCTTTAATTCTATAATATGGGCCATTTTACCTGTTGACATTCATGTTAAATTTGTTTTGGGGGCGGGGTTGCTTGTGTTTCACTGCTTATGGGCTTGTCAGGGTATGGTAAAAATGCAAAAGAAGGAAAAAATCTCATACCAGCATGGCTTACTGATCTTGATCTCAATGTTTTGTTTATTTATTGTGCTTTAAGGGTCAGTGATGGTCATTTTTGTTTCCACTGTGAGTTTTTGGTGACTGTGTGTGTGTTTTGTGTTTGTGCAGTGTGTGAGAATGGATGGAGATGCTGCTTGATAAATCGGGACCGGAAGATGCCGACTGATTACATTCGCAATGGTGTACTCTATGTTACTGAGAAGTGAGAACACACACACACACACACACACACACACACACACCCCTGCAGAAAGATGAGCACATTGGGTTTCAGTTAGGATTTAAAACCTGTTTTTACACCCATTTATATCCATTCATATCATTTCTCTGACAAAGAAGGTGACATTAATTCTTCATGTAAAATTGATTTTCTGTCTCAGTGCTCCTACATATGATATTGAATTAGTATTACATTCAGTGCAGGTGTTAGTTATTACCATTCTCACAGTTACTCAATTGAACGTTGTTTTTGTGTTTGTCCCTCAGCTACTTGTGTTTCGAAAGCTCCAGTTCCAGATCAGGCTCATCCAAAAAGAATAAAGTCATTAAACTGGTGGACATCACAGACATTCAGAAGGTATCTGAAAGAATGTAAAAAGTTATATTCTCAACCGAGACATGATATTGCAGAGTTGAGCTTGACCTGCAGGGGTTTTTTGTTTTCCACAGTATAAGGTTTTGTCTGTTTTGCCTGGCTCTGGGATGGGAATCTCCATTGCCACACCCTCAACACAGAAGGTAAGCTATGGAATTCTTTAAAGGAGAAAACTCTTTTTTCTGATTTGCCTACACCAGGTGTGCTCCAGTCCTCAGTCTTGCTTTTTTTTCTGCACTGACCGATTTTAATTTTGGGGTTGATTATCATTTTACTGTACATTTGATCTAATTGTAAATCTATGTTAGTAGTGTATACTGGCCTTAATGCAAATGAACAGAATTCAGCCATAGTGTCAGACATGTAGCCTACCAGGATAAGAATCATAATCTGTAAAATATGTGACACTGAGTGTTTTACTGATGGTTCATTAGTGTAAAGTGCTCCCACATGTGATGCATTCAGCTAAACCAGCTATAATGTATTTATTTTTAACATTTTCCATATATTAACAGTCACTGTTCTATCTAAAGGCATTTGCTTATAGTAAAGGCTACAGGTTTATGACTTAAAAAAGACTAAGCTTCCAAATACTAAATAGAGAAACAAATACCAAGGTAACAAACAGACACTTTTTATTATTATTCAAAGTATTCAAATTATTTGGGCCAGCCCTATAATACTGTGTTAACAAGTTCAAGACTGACTTTTTTTCTGCTTGTTTTGATGTTATACAGTAGCAGAAAATATGATGAAGATGTAAAGGACTTTTTGTCTTTATGCAAAGTAAGACTGTATGCAAAACAATTACTTTTCATCAAATTCAAATCATAATGAAATATCTCCTCTTCTGCTTGCTAACACAAATTTTGTATCAATTGAAAGTTTCACTTTCCACAGAACTTCACTTTTTTTAAATGAGCGAATGAGAAAAATGAGTTAGAAAACAAATATTATATGATATAAACAGGACTCGTCATCTGGCGGACCGTAGTCCTGATCTGGAGCTGCTTAAGATCTGTAAATAAAAAGGTTGCGTCATCTCAGTAACATACATGTACATAAACCAGCGCAACTTCTGTAGCAGTCCTGTGTTACAGTCTATCCGATCACATACAATTATATAGATGTAGACATAGCCGATGGCAGCTCATGAGAACAGAGACTACAGGAATAGATTTCTGATCCGAAAGCAAATAATTTCACATATTTTCATAGTTTATTTTTATTTACTGTTTACTGTTTACTGTTCCTGGCCTGAGTAGTGAAGCAACAACATGGCTTGTTAAAAAATGGGAAGTCAATGAAGTCAACAGTGTTTAAAAAACAAATGAACAGATAACTGAGTCTTTTAATCCTCATAAATCGCTGCGCTGATCAAAAGTGGACATGATAAGTGCCAAGACCATGACATGCTTTTTAAGAAAATACTTTGTTATTGTTAATTGATTGAATTTATTTTACCTTATGAAAAGACAGGAATTTTGTCTTCGGTGGACAAATGTTTTTAAAGATATTTAAATGTTTTTTTTTAATTAAGAATTTAACTTTAAGCAATTTATTGACAGTGATGACATGTTAAGTTTGTTTATTTGGACCTTTGTAAGCAATAAAATCTGATGTAACTGGACCATCATAAGTTTTAGTTGATTCTTACTGATATAAAACATTTGTTGTGCGCCAGCATAACTGTGACTTTCGAGGTTTAACAGGTTGAATCAGGTGTGACGAGTTGAATCATGTGTCGCAGTAGGGAAAGCACTGAACTGTGCTGTGCTGTGCCAAAGATTCGCTCTAATGATTCAGTTAATGATTCAAGTGATTCGCTTTCATCCTCTTGTATCTTCTTCTTTCAGCCCCTGGTTTTTGGTGCCATGATCCACAGAGATGAGGCCTTCGAGGCGATCTTCACACAGTACATGAAGATCGTGACCACAGGCTGCCCTGAGACCTAGCCCACTGCTGAACCCCGCTGAGAGGCCATCACATCGCCTCTTTTCTCTCTTCTCTTCCTCTCCTGGCTCACCTGGGGCAGGCTGAAATCAGGGGGCATGGCCTAACGCACTCTCCCTCTCTCATTCACTTTGGTTGACTGTAGCTAGGTGATGTCATCTGAAGGTCAGGAGCCTTGCACCAGTGAGCAGAAACAGAGGTGTGCGCACATTCCTGTAGGGCAGGCCGCTATTCATTTTTAACACTGACGGCTCATCACAGAAAAGGGCTCGGGGGGCTGGATCTCCTCACCCGCGCGGCTACTGAAGAGTAGTGTGTAGAGCTGCATATAGACGATGTGGGTTTTGAACCTGTTTTCGCTACCTTTTTCTGGGTTCTAGTTCTGTCTGTCTGTCCAGGCTGGGCTTGCACTGGGTAATCGGGGGCACTTCTGTTGGGGGTGGTGGGACGTCAAAGCTGCAAATGCATATTAACTGATAAAGTAAAGCCTTTTTACATTAGTTTACATTGTTGCAGTGCATACATGCACATGCACACATGCACGTATAGACAAACGATTGTGTGCCAAAGTTTGGGCACCCTGGTCAAATGACGTATTTTGTTGATTTTCTAGGTGAAAATAAGTTAAAAGTTATTTTATAATGTAATTCCTTTTACATTCAATGCATAGTTACTGTTTATCTGCCGAATTTAATATATTGGTGGGAAGAAAAACTATAAAATGTGGCCTGTAAAAAAGCGTAACAAATAAATACAAATTTTGCATTCAAATTTTGCAAAATCTCCCCGTACAGGAAATTATGGTCACTGAGAAAATCAATCAACATGTAATTTGGACCAGGGGTGTTTAATCTTATGCATACAACTGTACATGCACATGCACACACATGCACAAAAATACTCACACAGACATATTTATTCCCACATTTGACCAACAGTGTGCTTCAAAATGTCTGCATCATAATTTGATTATTCCTGCTACATAAGCTGTGTTGTTGGGGAAGCTCTGTAGCTTCAATGTGAAATCTTCTCTATGCCTTTCTTTTGAATCGTCTATATTTTTGTAACAGCCAATAGAATGATTGATATTCGATTGAATGACTGACTGATCAACTGATCAATCGATTGAATGTTAGGGATTTTTGCACCAGTTATATCTGTTCTAAAGATTACAGCAAGGGTCATCGTGTAGCTTCTCAAACGTTGTTTAAGCTACCATCACAAGCCTAGGTTTAGAACAGTTTTAGTATAGGTTTATAGGGGAATTTAAACAAAATTTAAATAAAATCTTTCAGAGTGGTTTGATGTAAAATGTAAGGAAATGTACCGACTCTGATTTCCTTACAGTGGTAGTGATAGGAACCAGTGATCGTGATGTCTATAACTCAAATATAGACATTTTATTTAATGTCTAAACAAGAGGTGAACCTACACATGTTTTCTGAGTTTTATATGCAAGGGTGCCATATACATTTTCAGTGTTAAATTATTAGCATGTCATCATTAATCATTAACATTTAATTCACAGTGTACATAAAAACCTACTGTTTACGTAAAATGGTTCGGTCCAAAACAGGCATGAACGTTACTGGCAAGCAATGAATTGCGAGTGAGGAGTGGAGCGTCATGTCTCAGCTTCCTAAATAAAAATCTGGCTTCCAAAAATGAAAATCCTCATACCCCTACCAATGACTCAGCCCTGTTTCCCCATCCCCATAGCCCTACCACTGAACCAGCCCTGTCTCCTCATACCCCTACCAATGACTCAGCCCTGTCTCCTCATACCCCTACCAATGACTCAGCCCTGTCTCCTCATACCCCTACCAATGACTCAGCCCTGTCTCCTCATACCCCTACCAATGACTCAGCCCTGTTTCCCCATCCCCATAGCCCTACCACTGAACCAGCCCTGTCTCCTCATACCCCTACCAATGACTCAGCCCTGTTTCCCCATCCCCATAGCCCTACCAATGAACCAGCCCTGTCTCCTTATGTCCATAGCCCTACCAATGAACCAGCCCTGTCCTCCTCATCCCCAAACCCCTACCAATAAACCAGCCCTGTCTCCCCATCCTTATACCCAACCAATGAACCAGCCCTGTCTCTTCATTCCTATACCCTCATCCCTACCAATGCCCTACTTCCAAATCAAGAAGGAGGTGAGCAGCAGTTGAATGATAATGTAACATAATGAATGTTGATTGGCATAATTGCAGGGGGTCTGTGGAATTTTTTTATTTAAAAAAAATGATTGAATTCTTACCATTGGAAATGATTCAAACACTGTAGCCTTATTATTTTTCACAGTTTGTTTTCAAATATATCTAAGTGTTTTACAAACTCTTGTGTGTTACAAACTTTACACAAATGCCAATATATTTGTGATTTTAGGTTAGTGAATGTCCATTTTACAGCTTTTGGTACATAGAGGGATTAGCATGCTAATATTAGCTAACTCTGAAGCCTAAACTGAACTAGCTATCAACTAAGTAGCCAAGCTAGCGCTAAGTTTTTATGCTGCTGTTGCCTCCACATTGGCGTGGCCTATGATGCTGGGGCCCGATGTGATATCTTTTTATGGGGCCCAAAATCCCTAGCGGCTTGATAATAGTAAAATAGTAGTAAGTTCAGAAATAACTTTTCTTTGGGTACTTTGTTGCCTTAAAGCATCTCAAGACTAGCATAAAACAGTGTCTCAGGCATCAGGCATCGCGCTCGTCACCATTTTATTAACTTTCTGTGAGGCAGCATTTAGAGGTGTTAAACACTCCAGATGTCTGGTTCCTTTTACCACCACTGTGAACAGTTCTGACTGTTCTTTTCAGAATTGTGAATTTCATATCAAACCACTCTGAATGACTTTGTTAACACTTTAACCATTTAATTATGCAGCAATGTTAAATTAATTATACAGAAATTCCCCTTTAAGGGTACAGTCACATTGCACTGCATTCTATGAGAGTGTTTCGTTTGCATATATCTTGATTAAAGTATAATTTAGACTAATAGAACATGTATGATGTACCGTGTAAGTACAAAGAGTATTAAATACAAAGTTGGAAGTAGACCTAAGACTGAAAATCTGCCCAAAGCTTTGTGTAATATGAGAAATCTAATCTGAAGTGTCAGCTAATTCTCCACAGCCAGATTGCCAGTTGTATAAATGAAGTATGTTGAAGCCCTTAGACAATTGAAACTACGTTTTTAGCATTTAAGCCAAGAATAAGTGACCAGGTGAAATTAGTGTAGCTCTGAGCACCTGGATGTTCGATCTCTAGAGAGGCATACATACTGTTCGCAGCAACACACATTTAGGCTGAATATCGCTTGACCTGCTTTACATATTGGCACTATGAGATGCTGCAGACTGTAACATGTTATGTAAGTGTAGGAGCTGTTCTTACCTTGTGGCTCTACCTGGCTTTACTTTTACAGGGTGGTTATTCATGCTTGTGAAAGAGTGAATCTTTCTGTCGTGTATAAGCATTTACTTTTTCATGTGACACGATTTGTTCTCGTCAGTACAGCACCGTCTGTGACTGAAAGCTGGTCTTTTGGTTATGGATAATTGTAAAATGGTATATCTACTAAATACTAAATCCATCTGGTCTTAAAATGTTTTTATTATTATTTGTTTTTTAATTTACTGCTTGAGTAATAAAGTGCTAACAGCTGTTGTAGGGGCTATATGGAGGGCCTTTTAGGGCCATAACCATCCTGAAACCATCCTTAAATGTGCAAGTTTTTTTAGATCACTCTGGACTTGGGTTGTACACCTCCACCATATTGAGTGTTCTCTTCCCAATACATTTCACCAGAGGTGTAAATCTCTGTCCACACAACGGTTCAGTCTGATTCGATGCATCATGAAATTCTTACAAAATTTGATCATAGTCTGATGTTATTTGAATATGTTGGTATAATTATATCTAAAGTTACACTGCCTATACAAATGAGTCTGGAGGAGCTATTTATATAGTAGTAGAATATAGACAATAACTTAATACACAAAGCTTTTTAAGGATTATTTTGCATTTGAAAATTACTTCAGAATTTTAGGCCAAAAACATTAGCACTTTATTGAACAATATTGTAGCTGATTATTGCTGAAGTTGAATCCTCCCCTTTTTTCTCATATGAGCTGTGATGTGATCTACTGTGGAGGCAGTTCAGTTACTCATGGCAACAAGGCTCATGCTAAGCATGGAATTCAAAAGGAAATGGGGGCTCAATATCCAGTGTACCCTGTCCATGTTGTTGCCTAAAGTCTTGATTGCCTTTTGGGTGTGTAAAAATGCTATTAACTTGATTTAAAGGTTGATTCAGACAACAAGAATGTCAAAAAGAAACATATAGATGGCCTTACACTCTTAAAAATAAAGGTTCCTAATTGGTTCTTGGCTTGTATGTAGAATTCTGGTGAAACCTTCAATTGGTATAGAATCTAATGTGGAGTGGGGCAGTTTCTAAACATTTGGTTTCCCATAGTGATATCCTGTTTGGGCCCCTATCAAACCCAATCATATAATCATATTATTATGTACACAAGAGTGAAAAGAAATATAAGGTAGGTAAAGAAAATAAAACAATACGTACCCCTGATGCTTGTGACTTGGCAGCTATAAAAGACTGCTTATAGTGTTTATAGCAAGGAACAGCCCTGCTTTGGTTCTGTGAAGAATCATGCATTGAAAGTTTCTTTAGGGTACCAAAAGTGGTCCTTCTATGGTATCACTTCAAAGAACACCTGTCTGGGACCTTTATTTTTAAGTGTAATGTAAGAAATGTGATGATGACCCTAATGTAAAGATATTCCAAAGATCAAAATGTTACATGTCATAATCTAAATGATATATATATAGTTTTAAAAGTCTGCATCTATCCAGCCTGCTGCCATGGCTGTTCTAAATAAAATCATGTGGACCCCACTGCACGGTGTACAGAGAATACTCCAGTAAAGCTCTTGAGGTGTAGTCAATATTCAACTAGTTTCTGATTGGGGCATTCTTAGTGTCCTACAGCTGCACTAAAGAAGCACAGAATGTATTGTGTGACCACTAGATTTGCCAAATGTTCTTTCTTTCTTTCTTTTCCATCAGCCGTGGTCTGTCTAAAACTGTGATGTTTACAGAAAGGCTTGGTTTCAGTCCACACACTGTGCTCCAGTCTGAACCCATGGAGTTTTTCCCAAGGTTATGAAGACTCGGGTGAAAACTTTCAGTGTGACTTGCTGTCATTTTCCAAAGGCAACTTGGAGAGCTCACGTAACAATATATGCCAACATCCACCTTCCAGTTTCAGAGATAAACCTCTTATAAATCTCGTTATTCAGAACTCTCGATCAGTACTGAAACACCAGACAGTGTAGTTTTACTGCCTATAACTATTTTCAGTTTAAAAGCAATACAGTTGCTTCTCTAAAGCTGTATGCTCCAGCTCTAGCTCTTTATGGACAGGCATCAATTGTTATCGTGTCTCTTCAGGTGTCCACTGAACTCTGATGTAATATTTGTGTGGCTTATAGATGTTAACTGATGTGTTTGTTCTAATTGTGTGTAAATGTTGACTTCTATTTTTCGTA